AATAATAGTTACACACGGATATTACATAATTGAATATATTTGAAATGTCATTTCCATATGCGACTACTGCTTCGAGAAAAGTTTATTTGCCAAATTCTGAATTAGATGAGAAGACGAAGAAAATATATTTATAGTCTATATTTCAATAATCTATTTCTCTCCGGTCCTGTGCTCGTGTTTCACGCATTTGCAAATGTGTTATGAATCCGCAGTCTCACGATTATAAGTCTCTGACGGCGAAGAAGACATCGCGGCTTCGAAAAGCAAATTAATTTTGGTGAAAATCGATCGCGTCACGGATTATGATACCGACGTTTCGCGATTAGATCGCTCTGTACGTCGACGAACGAAACAACGATGGAACGAAGCTGTTCCCGAGTGAAACCAATTCTCGCGGAACGAAAGGCGCAGATTCCGAGCGCAGCGCCCGCGTTCCGGTTTCCGTAGAATCGATTTCCGCGCCGAAAGCGCGACGAAACCGCTTTGGAACGCTCGGCGCGAGTAGATCAGCTGCGATCTGAATGCTTTCTCTCTATTTCCTCAAATCAGGAGATACTGCAGCGCGAGTGAATGCACAACTCGTCCCTCTAACCGTCTAACCCTCTCCGTCGCGACGGTTCCCTGTGCAGTTTGGATGGCCTGCAACCGTCGTAGCAACGAATCTTCGAAATACAAGACAATGAACGGCATATAGAATGGGAATGATCGTGATAGAGACGAACATTCGATAACGTTTAAACGTAACGGGTGGGTGGCCAACAGCTTTATTTCTCTTTGTTTTTCGCGCGAGTCAAGCCGACGAAGTTCCCTCTCGCAGTTTCTGTGTACTAGACGATACGGTTCTATCGGGGTCGTTCGGAAAGCAATTTCGTTTCTCGAGAAACGTTCGATTCGATATTTTGTCGACGAAGAGCCGGACTTCTACGAGCACGGGATTTCACAGTTATCGGAAGGACGACGAAATGATTAAGTTAATACATTACAAAATTTATAGATGAGCGAAATAAATGTTAAATAATCGCCTTTTTCCGTTGAAAAAGTGAAGCTTCTTTTAAAGTGAAATTTTCGCACTGGCGTTCTGTCAATCGGTGATAAAATAGCAAAATATGCCGAAATGTTATAAGAATGCAATTTTTAGTTTGCATATTATAAATTGCACATTATAAAACTGCAATTTTGTCTGCATATTATAAAACTGTAATTTTGTTTGCATTTTCTTTGCATATTATAAAACTGCAATTTTGTCTGCATATTATAAAACTGTAATTTTGTTTGCATTTTCTTTGCATATTATAAAACTGCAATTTTGTCTGCATATTATAAAACTGTAATTTTGTTTGCATTTTCTTTGCATATTATAAAACTGCAATTTTGTCTGCATATTATAAAACTGTAATTTTGTTTGCATTTTGTTTGCATATTATAAAACTGCAATTTCGTCTGCATATTATAAAACTGCAATCTTGTTTGCATATTATAAAAGTGCAATTTTGTTTGCACATTATAAAACTGCGATTTCGTCTGCATATTATAAAACTGTAATTTTGTTCGCATTTTGTTTACACATTACGAAAGTGCAATTTTGTCTGCATATTATAAAACTGCAATCTTGTTTGCATATTATAAAAATGCAATTTCGTCTGTATATCATAATAGTGCAATTTTGTGTATTATAATAGTGCAAAAATGCAATCTGCTTTGCATATTATAAAAGTGCAATGTTGTTTGGATATTACAAAAATGCGATTAATCAAAGTCAAAGAAAATTTTTTAGAAATAAGTAATGAAGTGTCAGCTGTCAGTACCGATAATAACGAAATACGGTTTCGTATGAAGCTGGCTGGTTAAAAAGTTGCTGAAGTTGATCGGTAAGAAAACGAAATAACTTTCCGCGCAACCCGATATATTCCGTACTCCGTACTTAATCATTTTCGCCGGAACGTTCGACTGGTTCTCTCCCGGGAACGGCGTTCGCCTAAATACCCGAGCTTCACGGACTATTAATCGTCCAACGTAATCAATCTTACCATGTATTCGCGCGCGGCAAATGCCGTCGAAACAGTTTCCGCGGCTCGTAACGATCTCTCCGACGAACGGTCGCCGGTTTTTCAAGGTTCGGGAATCGCTGATTTGTGTATATCGTGATACGAAACCACGGCCTACGGTATTCGAGGACTGGTGTCGCAATCGTTCGGCAGACAAGAGATCGTGGATATTTGCTATTTTCTATGTCAGGCCAGTTTAATAGCGCGGTCGACCGAGAAACGATCGAAGTTTATTGTTGTTCATGGATTTCGCGCGGCGAGCCGACTGTGATAGCGGAGACTGAAAGCGAAGCTTCGAATAAGTTCGCCGAGAAGAACGGATGGAAAATCACGTGAAAGTGCATTGAGTTTCCATGAACTTTCTGTTGTAGAATTTTAAACGTGTTCATATATTTTATACATTCAGGTGGCGAGGATAATGCGTTCTTGAACTGTTCTTCAACTCGCGCATGCGCGCAATGATTTCATTTGATCGAGTCGTACGATTAATTTTTTGGAGATGATGTTCTTTTTTGAGGAGAATATACAGGGTGTCCCAAAAATGTCTCGCAATCCGAAAGTGGGTTCCTCAGGTTATTTGAAGCAAGTTTTTGCTTTACAAAAATTTTCTCCGAGGCACCATTGACGAGTTATTAACGAAAAACAGTGACCAATGAGAGGCGAGATCGGCTGCCGCGAGGTGGCCGAGCCAACGGCGCCAGCGGTCGAGGCGGTCGTGCGGTTCGTGCGCTGGTTGCCAGGGCCGCCTCGCGTCTGCCGTATTCGATTCTTATTGGTCACCGTTTTTCGTTAATAACTCGTTAACGGTGCCTCGGAGAAAAATTTTGTAAAGGAAGAAGTTGCTTCAAATGACCCGAGGAACCCGCCACTTTCGGATTGCGAGACATTTTTGGGACACCCTGTATAGGCGAACTATCGTTAGCGTACACGATCGTCGGTGAAATTCGGGTGGTACCAAATACCTGTATAGTTTTCTACGCGAGTGTAAGCGGTCGCGCGAATGTTCATTTTATGTAGCATCGCGTACAGCATATTTCGGAAAAGTTACGAGCGTAGTTCGATTAGTGCCACACATTTGAATGGCAATGTATACAAAAAGAATCGTCAATTTTCGCGATGTAAGGCAGATGAAATTAACGGTTGATATTTATAATTACATTTAGAAATTTAGGATAGAATACCGAAGTATTCTAATGCCACGAGTTCTGATCATTTTGTCGCGAAATTTTCACGAGGTAACGAATAGACGGCAAATTTTATATATCCATGACAAAAAGCAATGCAAGAAATACAAATAAGTGGAAACGTCAATTTTAGAACAACCGTTTCAAGGCAAAAGGATTAAAACGAAATAAATTGCCGCTTCATTCGCGTTTCTTGCGATTGAAGTAGAAGGATTTGCGCGTCGCGCAAGAATTCCCAGTCTAAATCGAAGAAACGCGGTCTCGGGGACCGTTGAAGGGTCGAAACGGAATTCCATCCGCAAAAACCGAGGAGAATACCAAAGACAACGCTCCATTATCACAGTTGGCTCGCCGATTCATTTCCGAACAGCAAAACAATCGTTATCGAATCGGTTCGCGGCGAGTCATTCAGGTTCAGCGTAACAGGACAGCGTGAGTTGTCGTGAAATTATCTCTACTCATCGTCCCTTCGTCGTAACTAACAATAATAACAACAACAACAATAACTGTAAAACGCTGAAAGAGTGAAGTCGCGCGCGCGGAAAGAAAATAAACGATGAACGACCACAGAATAATAAAAATGGATTCGCGATCGCGAATGGAAATAGATGTAAATAATTGCATTACGATCCAATTAGGACGCAGCCTTCAGACCCGTTTTTATTACGATTAACAGTATAATCACCGGTGGGTGTACATGTACCTATATATATACATATATGTGTGTGTCTCGCATTCTTTCTGTCTTCTGTACGTAACTATACATACGATTATACATATGTACACATTTTAATTGAAACGTGTATACCGCATACTATATCGGGTGGCCAATGAACTCCTGGGAGTGTGCTGAAGGCCGAGGAGTATAGCGAATGAACCGTGTCGGTGCTATAATTACGTTCGGGAAATTCGAGGATCTCTTTTCCTTCCGCGAATGTAAATGATTCGTTCTCGTTCGCGATTTATTTTAGCAGAATTTACGTGGGTTCGCGATCAGGCTGCGGATTTGCACTTTCGAGTAAAATACAGAACAGTAAACGCATTTAAAGAACGTAGAAACGGTTAGAGAAGTGTTCGGGAAAGTAATAAATTTCTATGTAGCTTCTGCATCTTCCTAATTAGTGATTAATACAGTATTGATCTTGCACACAAGTCTGCAGTCTAATTGTAATCACGTTGTTTTCAATTTGTTCAAGTAGAATCCTGATTCAAATTGTCGATTGTTCCACGATATCGAATCACTGAAATTCGTGTGTCATTGCTTAATAACGGTAACAATTAGACTGCGGATTTTATGCATTTGAGATTATTGCATTAATGCGTTTTTTTAACGTTCAATTTAACATAGTAGCGAGATTGGATGAATTTAAAAATATCATCGTATCATTTTCGATCTGATAAACTTCTGTAAAAAAAGAATGGACTTAGTTTCTATTTCTTGCAAACGATGCAGACAATGTTTACTTCGCATACAAATCCGTGGTCTAGCAACAATATCGTCGAACGATGAATACAACTGTTCTCGGAGTTTCTGTCGCAGCAATACTCGGATTAGCGCAAGCCGATTCCTTCCCCGGTTTAGTGTCACCGGGGTCGCGTGGTTGCCGCTCTTTCATTTTCCCTGTTCCGAGTGACACGCTCTAGCGAACGGCGTTAGTTCCAACTGTCGTTTAATTGTCGCACAGCCCCCCGGTATAGTGATTTTCCAAGTTAACACCAAACAATCACAGGATGGTCTAGTATTCTTGATACGAGGTAATTTTTATTTTAGACGTTATTGAACGAGTCGCTTCAGGTTCTACCGTAGAGAAAACGACCATTTCGGTGTCGTCGGAGAAGTCATTGGCCATCCAGACGCATTATTATACATACACACGACTACGAAAAAAAAAAAAAACAAAATAATAATAATAATAATAATAAAGAAAACACAGAAACTGTATTATACGCGATACACGACAGACGTTTAAGAGTGATTGAAGCGGGATTAACCGATGCTACCGTGTACGTATATACATATGAACGAGCAAGATGTTTATACATATATAGTAGATGAGAAAGAGAGAGAGAGAGAGAGAGAGAGAGAGAACGTGAGGGAGAGAAAGGTAGAGAGAAAGAGTGAGAGAGAAAGGTTCCAGTAGAAGTCGCAACGAGCAAAAAAGAAAACATGTAAACGCGTCGCTGACATTAATAATAGGCGTGAGAGTTATCGTGAACGTTTTGAAAAACCAAAATGTTGTTCAATTTCACGTACATATACGTACATATATATATGTATTATGGTATTGTCCTTGAGAAAGCGCTTTCGACAGTCGATATATATATATATATATATTATATATAGATTGTATTTAGGAACTGGTGGTAACGATCTAGTCGCAACTCGGTGATCGGTCCGCGATCTTCTTCGAGTTGTTTCGCTCTCTAGATTTTTGTATTCTCTATCGTTTTCGGCTTTTCATTCTCTCGTGTCGGCCTTTTCCACATATCTTATTCTTTCGTCCAGGCTTATTCTTGGTTCGACGGACAACGATTATCGTAACAAACGGATTGGGATGTCGACGCCTTTTCTTTCATATCCGCGTTGTCGTCGCCGTTGAAATTCGAGTTGCTTGCTTCGATCGTCGTTCAACAAATTATGCAATTGGGGCAATCGTTGATTGCGCATTTCGAAATGTGTCTCGATCGATTCGAGATTTGTTTGAATCGGTTGTTCGAATATTTCTTACGATTAATGATTGGATTACAAATTCGTACAAATTTGAATTTAGGCGGATTTCTAATGTAAATTTTAATTTGGATGTATTTTTAACGTAAATTTGTCAATTTCGAGAAGGTAATCCAATTGGGATCAGATTTATTACTGTTTAAAATCTTATTTCTTACGATTAAGAATTGGATCCTTCGTACAAATTTTAATTTCGGCGAGTTTTTAATATAAATTTGAATTTAGGCGGATTTCTAATGTAAATTTTAATTTGGATGGATTTTTAACGTAAATTTGTCAATTTCGAGAAGGTAATCCAATTGGGATCAGATTTATTACTGTTTAAAATCTTATTTCTTACGATTAAGAATTGGATCCTTCGTACAAATTTTAATTTCGGCGAGTTTTTAATATAAATTTGAATTTAGGCGGATTTCTAATGTAAATTTTAATTTGGATGGATTTTTAACGTAAATTTGTCAATTTCGAGAAGGTAATCCAATTGGGATCAGATTTATTACTGTTTAAAATCTTATTTCTTACGATTAAGAATTGGATCCTTCGTACAAATTTTAATTTCGGCGAGTTTTTAATATAAATTTGAATTTAGGCGGATTTCTAATGTAAATTTTAATTTGGATGGATTTTTAACGTAAATTTGTCAATTTCGAGAAGGTAATCCAATTGGGATCAGATTTATTACTGTTTAAAATCTTATTTCTTACGATTAAGAATTGGATCCTTCGTACAAATTTTAATTTCGGCGAGTTTTTAATATAAATTTGAATTTAGGCGGATTTCTAATGTAAATTTTAATTTGGATGGATTTTTAACGTAAATTTGTCAATTTCGAGAAGGTAATCCAATTGGGATCAGATTTATTACTGTTTAAAATCTTATTTCTTACGATTAAGAATTGGATCCTTCGTACAAATTTTAATTTCGGCGAGTTTTTAATATAAATTTGAATTTAGGCGGATTTCTAATGTAAATTTTAATTTGGATGGATTTTTAACGTAAATTTGTCAATTTCGAGAAGGTAATCCAATTGGGATCAGATTTATTACTGTTTAAAATCTTATTTCTTACGATTAAGAATTGGATCCTTCGTACAAATTTTAATTTCGGCGAGTTTTTAATATAAATTTGAATTTAGGCGGATTTCTAATGTAAATTTTAATTTGGATGGATTTTTAACGTAAATTTGTCAATTTCGAGAAGGTAATCCAATTGGGATCAGATTTATTACTGTTTAAAATCTTATTTCTTACGATTAAGAATTGGATCCTTCGTATAAATTTTAATTTCAGCGAGTTTTTAATATAAATTTGAATTTGAGTGGATTTCTAATGCAAATTTTAATTTGGATGGATTTTTAATGTAAATTTATATATATAAATTTCAAGAAGGTAATCCAACTGGGATCAGATTTATTACTGTTTAAAATCTTATTTCTTACGATTAAGAATTGGATCCTTCGTACAAATTTTAATTTCGGCGAGTTTTTAATATAAATTTGAATTTGAGCGGATTTCTAATGCAAATTTTAATTTGGATTTTTAATGCAAATTTATAAATTTCGAGAAGGTAATCCACACACAATTGGAATGAGATTTATTACTGTTTAAAATCTTATTTTTATTTCGCGCGACACCGAATCGTTCGAATACCTCGATTACGTATAAAACGTGTTCAATGTTAAATTTCAAATCGAAGGAGAAGAGCGACTCCGAGTTTCGATGGCATAATCGATCGCTGTAGTACTCTCTTACGCGGATCGAGCGGCCGAGAGAGGTTGAAGAAGCTTAATAAACTCGTAGCTTTGTTAACTCGATACTCTTCCACGGGTACCATGTATTATTATCATTATTGTTATCGTAGCCATTGTACGATGAGACAGTACGGTCTTTAGTAGCGATCTTGAAAGTGTGATATTTTTTTAACGAACATATCGCAGCGTACGTTCGAGTTCGGCGGGTGATTTAAATGCTTGCTGTTTAGAGAAAAAACGATCTCCGGTTCAGGAGGATTTCGGAGAGGATTAAGAGACGAAAACGGGATCGATGGTGCACGATTCGAGGGATCAAAACGCGTTAATGCTCGCGTTCATCCTTTGTCGCGATACTTATCACTTCGATGAAGGAGTTCTGTCGTTCGTTGCAGAGTTGGACAACGTTTTGATTCGGAGGACGAATAAGAAATATGAACAAACGAATAAAATTCTGTTCGACAATAATATTTTCAGGAATCGAATAAAAATTTACCCGAGTACGATTTTATTCGAATAAAATCCATTCGAATAGGAGAATTTATTCGTACAACATTTCATACGGAAAATAATCGGTTTCAATGAAAATGGTAGAATTCGTATTATTCTTCGAATAATTTAACGATCTCTGTTCGAATAATTTATTCGAATGAATAGACAGAATAATTCATAACGAATAATTGTGATACGAATAAAATATTCGGCAAGAACGTACTAAATTGAATAATTGTCCTAGATAAATATAGACAGACAATAATATTTTTCGGAATCGAATAAAAATTGATCCGAGTACGATTTTATTCGAATAAAATTCGTTCGAATAGGAGAATTTATTCGTACAGCATTTCATACTAAAAACAATCAATTTGAATGAAAATGATAGAATTCGCATTATTCTTCGAATAATTTAACGATCTCTTTTCGAATAATTTATTCGAATGAATAGACAGAATAATTCATAACGAATAATTGTGATACGAATAAAATATTCGGCCAAAAAAGTACTAAATTGAATAATTATCCTAGACAAATATTTATTCGAAGCAGCTCGCGTAATGTCCAACTCTGTATCGTCGTAACATCATTGTTTACGCAATTAATTCAATACCAACACCATCGATTGCACGGCCATTAAAAATGCGTGGCATTTACAATTTGTTTAATTTTGCTCGAGTCGATTCGACTGTAGCGTTAAATAATACGCTTTCACTAATTCCGACAATTTCCATTGTAACGCTGTGCATTGGAAACTTCTCAGGGAGAATAGATATCTTCGATCGGCGAGCATCGCGTAGAATTCCAACGACTCGAAATCAATTCCCGTTTCAATCGATTCGACTCCTGCACCGTCGATCCGCAAACGCATTCAAACCGAAGTTCGCGCTTGCTCGAAGTTCTCGTTTCGATTGTGATTCCGTGCATTGAGAGATTCTCAGGGAGAATAAATCCTCGATCGCCAAGCACTAGATAAAAGTTGCTGTTGGCGCGGCGGAATCGAGGATCCGTCGCTTCTTACGCTTTGTCTCTTTGTCGCTGCAAATTCGTGCTTTGTCGATGATCGTTGAGCTGGCAAACCGGCATACTTCTCGCCTGTTGTCCCGTGTGTGCTTAAAGAGATATACAATCGGAGGAAAGGTGGAGTGCACTAACCTTGTTTAGACATTAACCGTCCAACATTGATTAACCTGGTTGAATCGTGACTTGTGCTCTTTTTCACCGTTCTCGTCCTGTTTTTCTTTTTCTCTTCTTTTTTTTGTGTGTGCTTCCTGTTGCGTCCTTTAAACGTGCGAACACTGGAATCGTTCACACGGCACAATACGCAAAAACCATAGTCGCAAACGTTCGTTTTGTTTCGATCCGTTCACGGTGCGTTAGAATCTTGATGAGCAGCATAGATCTTGTTCAATGTTCGTCTGCCAATTTTACATTAACCCCTTAACTTGTACGCTCGAGTTAATTCGAGCGCGCTAAACAGGCCAAACTGTGCGCACTCGAGATAATTCGGGCGGCGTTGCATTTTATGCTGCTATAATTTTTCACACTCGAATATAATCGAGAATTGAAAATAACAATGCGGAAGCAAAGAAAAAAAATCGTTCTATTGATATTTGTCATTTACATGGGATTGTAAGCTAATAATACTTATTTATTCAAGAATAAAATATAGCCTTTTTCCATGGAACAAAAGTGCAGTATATCAAAATTCTCCACCAAAAAATTGATTATTTTGGCTGGTTTCTTTAAAAAAAAAAAAAACTGTGCGTTAAGGGGTTAAAAGATAAACGACGACAATTCATTGCTACTCCTTGGTAAAATTCAGATTTCCGTGCATTTATAGCGATGGATAAACAGAGAATGAAAAAGGAAAAAGAAAGTGAAACACTTCAGTTTCTTACAATTGATTCGAATGATTTTGATTTTGCTCAAAGATCAAACAGTCTGATAAATGTACGTACGAGAATATTCTGCTAAAGTTGATAAGAGACTCTAGGTTTAATTAGTTTCATAGATGCTATTAATTAACGTTCGTATTATTAACGTATGAATGAACGTAATACAGTAATGTCTCCCTAATTGACGCTCAGATTATTCGGAAAAATGGATAATTCGTGGAGAAGAGATACGACTATCCGTAAAAAAACGAGCCGCAAGGCTCGAACAATCGTATCTCCTCTCCCCGAATTGTCCATTTTTCCGCACAATCTGAGCGTTGTTGTTATAAATGTTTCTGTTAGACATTTTCATGTGGACTTCTTCACCGAAGCACATATTATAATAAAAATCGTACTGAGCTTAAATAAATCCACTCTTGTCATTGTTATAAAACAACATACAATAATGTCTCTCTAATTGACGCTCAGATTTTCTACAAAAATGGACAATTTTGGAACAGGAGATGCGATTGTTCGAGCCTTGTGGCTCGTTTTTTATGGCTATCGATTGTCAACAACTATAGGCAACTCTTCCAAAATTGTCCACTTTTGTGGACAATCTGAGCGTCAATTAGAGAGACATTACTGCAACAGTGGTTATAATTATTTACTCGTTCCTTTCGCTTTCGTTTGAAATCGTGGAGGGATCGAAACGGAAACGTCGGGCTCACGGTTAATTATGTTGTTTGTCCGACTTCTCGATGTAAGAAGGAAATAACAGGAAACCCCGTACTGATCTCTTTTCTGCTCGTGTTCAGAGGCGAACGAGTGACGCCGCGACGGATCACGTGGAGCAAAGACCATCCCTTTCGATGTACAGACAAGTGAGAACGAGTTTTAAACGCGTCATCGCGAACCACGTGCCGGTGATGAAGAGCAGGCAAACGGTATACGTCGTTGTGGATCGGAAGCCGTGAGGAACCGCGCGCGCCGTGTACACTCGTAGGAATTTCTTGAACGTAGAATTAGACACGGTCTAGCAGGATCCGCGGTGTTTCGCGTGCACGAACGCGCATATTCGCGGTCGCTTCGAAGATCCGTGCTCGCGCGAGAACCTCTGACGTCTCGCGGTACATTCGGAATTTCGCGAACGAAACCTTGAGACGCACTCTACCACGTATGGAAAGTTGGAAAAGGCTCTCTAGGAAAATTAGACGCTAGGGCCATCGCTTCGCGCTTGTTCAGCAATCCGCGTTTTCTATTTTTCTAAAATCTCGTTTCTAACGATCTTCTCGAATTTTTACCTCGGTTATCCGACTCGCTGCAGCCTGGTTTTTTAACACCCTTTGCACTCGAGCGGCGCACCCCGGGACGACATTTGACGCGAAAATTGAGAAGTTCGGTTCTGCGACGGAAATTATATTCGACCACGATTTTAATCAAATTACTGATTTTCAAATCTGAGAAAATAATTCGGAAATAATTGTACAGATAATTGTACAGATAATTGTACAAAATCGTTCTATCATGTTCCAAAATAATTTCGACGGTATCATATTTGTTTATATTTAAAAAAACTGTTGAGAGAGCAAGTATTATACCTTCCAATAGATTCAATTCCGTATATATAAGTTGCAGTAAATCTTGTAAAATAGAAACGACAGTATCGTATTTGTTTATATTTAAAAAAACTGTCGAGAATGCAAGTATTATACCTTCCAATAGATTCAATTCCATATATATATATATATATATATATATATATATATATATATATATATATAAGTCGCGGTAAATCTTGTAAAATAGAAACATTGTGTACGAGAAACCACGTTCCGGTTGTCTGATTCAAGTAACTTCGGGTGCAAAGGGTTAATTACTCTGCTTCATCTCATTCAGTTTCTTCGGGACTTAAACCAAGCTGTAGATGATCACTGTTATTCCGATCGGTAATTACGATCCTTTTAGCGAGGATCGAGGGCTAATCGATGGACGCGCGAGCGAGTCGCAGAGAGAGGCTTTTCTAATTCGTCCGTCGCGCGGAACGCGAAACCGTCGCCTGTTTCCCAGTTTCAACGATAATCGGGCAGACGTTCGATCTTAATCCTCTCGCGACTGTAGCTCAGCCTTGCGTCTAAATGTCTACTTAACTAACCGGGTAAGACTTCGTTCATCAGTTTTCGGTTTTCACTTCGTTCGGTTGCGTCGGCGTCGCGCGCGCGCGCATTCTCCGTAAGGTCTCGCGCGACCGTAAAGAGAGAGAGAGAGAGAGAGCGACGTTCGAAGGGAAAAATGTCGTAAAGCAATAACAGGATCGTCTTCGCGAGGGAACACGGAGCTGGTTCCGATTTCGCGGAGCGAGTTCACGCTCGGCGGGCGACCTCCGCTTCATTTCGCAATCTCGGCGCGAACGTGCCAACGAATCGGCAGGACGATCGTTTCGCGATCTACTCGAGAGTCTCCCTCGTCCTTTTCTTTTTGCGTCCTCGGGACGCTTTTTTGCCGGTTCGCCTCCGCGAGTCGCTAGTTTGCACGTCGAGCAAGTCGGTCGTGCAAGTGAACATCGACTTAACGCGCGTGGGAGATGCTGCGAAACGACGCGGAACGTTCTGTAATTTTATCTTCTTTTTTACGGTGGAGAAGCACTGAAATTCGGTTCTTAAAAGCTCAAGAGAATGCACACGGAAGGATGAT